CTGTGGGCTACCTGCCCGTATTAATGCAGGTCTCCCACTTGGTGGACACTCCCCTAGGGGACCAAATGGGAGACTGTAACAATAGACAGACATATGGCAGGGTAAGACCCACAGACACAGAATATTCCCAGCATGCATTATGATTTCCTTCCCTCTGCCCTGGAGATAATTGAGAAGTAATTCAATTATCTCCAGGACAGAGGCAAATCACCATTTTAAATTCAACACAAAAAACACATAAAAATATATAACTTTACAATTGTCGAACATTTTCCATTCGTATCACATATCCCCAGATAGCCTGGATCTGAGTGCATATTATTGGCGAATAGCGCTCAGATCCCATATGTATAGTTCACTCGCCATGGAGTCAAAGTCTATTACAGTCTTTCGGTGTGTGATTAACTCTATGGGAAGGCTATCTGGGTTAAGTCCATTCGTGCGTTTCAAACTCCCGAACGGCAGGTGTTTGTGTACTTCTGTCGATTGAGAAGGGAGGTCGGCGGCTTCAGCGGTGTTCGGCAGAAAAAGTGTCCGTTTTCAGTTCCATGAAATCAATGCCGAACACCGCTGGTCTTTCGCATGGTTTAAAATGGCCGCCGCCTCGTGGTCGACATATGAACGACGACCACCCTGTATTCGGTTTTAATTGAGAAGTGTCTGCGGTTAACCACAACGTTCTAATTGGGATCAAGAGGTTAACCAGCAACACACTTCTCTTCTGGGTGGCCGTCCATTCGGTAGTTTTGTTCGGCAAAAAACGTCAATTATACGAACAGAGGCATACGAAATATTAATTCCACGAAAAAGGCAAAACAGACGAACCAGCAATCCCAGGTTATACAGATGGATCTGTCACAACAGGCTGCTCTGAAAAAAGACGGTGTGGTTGCTTGAAGGAGCACAGTACTGATACTTGAACAAAAAATGAGCTGCATGGTCAAGTTTTCAGAAAAAACCTTTACTGTGCCAATGCCACAAAAAAGCCCAGTTACAATATGCCCAACAACACCTTGATACACCTCACAGCTTCTGGCACACTGTAAATGGAGTGATGAGACCAAAATAAAGCTTTATGGTCACAACCGTAAACGCTATGTTTGGATAGGGGTTAAGACCTATAGTGAATATAATACCATCCCCATTGTGAAGCATAGTGGTGGATCACTGATGTTTTTGGGGGAAGGTGGGGGGCTGAACTCTAGGGGCACGGGGAATCTTGTGAAAATTAATGGCCAGATGAATGCAGCATGTTATCAGAAAATACTGGCAGACAATTTGCATTCTTCTGCACAAAGGCTGCACATGAGACGCTCCTGGACTTTCCAGCATGACAATGACCCTAAACACAAGGCCAAGTTGACCCTCCAGCGGTTACAGCAGAAAAAGATGAAGGTTCTGGAGTGGCCATCACAGTCTCCTGACTTTTATATCATTGAGCCAATCTGGGGAGATTTCAAACATGCTGTTCAAATAGATGACCTACACCGCCTGCAAGAATTAGGGGCCCCATAGTCAACTATTACAAAAGACTGCATACTGTCATTGATGCTGAAGGGACAATACACAGCATTAGGAACTATGGGTATGCAAACTTTTGAACAGGGTTCATTTACATTGTTTCTTTGTTGCCATGTTTTGTTTTATGATTGTACCATTCTGTTATAACCTACAGTTGAATATGAATCCCATACGAAATAAAAGAAATGTGTTTTGCCTTTTCACTCATGTTTTATTTAAAAATGGTACATATGTTACCAATTCTCCAAGGGTATGTAAACTTTTGAGCACAACTGTACTACTACTACAAAAAAATCACCCAACCCTTTGTTACTCATTCAAATGTGTAACTGTAGAACTAGTAACACAGACTTGTAATACATTTTAAAGAAAGCTAACAATCTAAAGTGCAAGCTAGATTCACTTACAGTGGATATATTAAATATTTGTTGATATGTATTTAATAATTTTCTATTTCTTTTTAGCTGCTGTGAGAAAACAGCTGACACAAAATACCACCGAATAGAAGTCAATGTACAGAGGAGGCTTCAGCTTGCTCCTGACAGAGATGGAGGAAGGAAAGAGTGGTTAGGCAGAAAATAGAAACTGGAGAGAAAAATGTATTTATTTGTCACGCGCCCGCAGTGTTAAAAATTTTAACTTGTTAGACAGTTCATGCATTACGTACTCTTTTTTGTTTTTTCGGTAATGGAACGCTACAGCGTTAGGAATACAAATTATTTACATATTTATACAGACTGAAAAAAAGATTTGCATTCATCAAGTTCACCCTTTCTCACATCAGTTTTTGTATATATTGTTATTTTTAAGGTGATTAAAGAACTTTCAGCTAATCGTCATCATTACTATTATGCTTCATTGTTCCTGTTCTGCTCATGTATATGAAGGCTTAAGCTACCTCCGTATTATCGTACATTGTGAGGTAATCCATATGTGCTGTGTGCTTCACACATATGCATATATTTTATTGTTTATAAGAAGATTCACTGTGTTTGTTATTTATTTCCACACCTTTTCGTTTGATATTTCATTTTGTTTACGGTACTTTCAGGGTTAACTGGTGTGTGGAATTATTGGAGGGTATTATACAATATATATATATATATACATATATGTGTGTGTGTACTATTAAAATTATGTCCCTAAACAGGGGCGGACTGAGAACCCTCAGGGCCCCCGGGCAAAATAAATCAAGGGCCCCCTTACAGGCCCCACCCATACTCTGCAGCAAGCGCCACCCTTGTCCCGCCTCCAGCCACACCCTACACAATCTTTAGACACAAGGAACAAAAGGGCAATAAGCCCTTCGAGGCCCCAGCAGAGACTACAATTGAGGGCTAATGGGCCATGGAGGGGGTCTTTCTAGCTGAGGCTATCTCAGTGTCCTTTAGAGAGTGTGTTAGAAAGAATCTCCTCCAGGCCCCATTAGATACTACAATGGAGTCTAATGGGGCCTGGAGGGTGGTCTCTCCAACACTCTGGTTCCTATTCACAATATAGCAACACAACATAGCTCGCTGATACCTAAGCCAAGTTGGCTCCTCTTACCTTAATTACTGTTGCTGGCTGGCAGTCTGTGGGCTTGCTGGCTGCTGCTGGCAGGCTGTGGGCTTGCTGGCTACTGCCGGCAGGCTGTGGGCTTGCTGACTGCGGCTGGCAGGCTGTGGCTTGCTGGCTGCGACTGGCAGGCTGTGGGCTTGCTGGATGTAAGCCTGTGGCTTGCTGTAGGCCTGTGGGCTGGCTACTGGCCTGTGGGCTGGCTAACTTGATGGCTACTGGCCAGCCTGTGGGTTGGCTGGCTGTCTACTGGGGCACTTGTAAATTATTTAAAGAAATAATCTATGCACAATAACCACTACTGCTCCAGAGTAAGTAGTCAAACCATTTAAGAACAGTTTGACAACTTACCTGGGATCTGCTGGGATATGGGGCTGTATTAGGGAATAGGAGCAGTGGTGCAATGTGTGTGAAAGGTTCGTGTGTGTGGGGGGTGTAGTGTGTGAATGTGTAGGGTGTGTGGGCTGTGTACGTGTGTGGTAATGTTAGTATGGGGGGCTGTGTATGGGGGTCTATGTGTATATGGGTGGGCAGTGTATGTGTGTGTGTGAGGCAATGTGTGTAAATGTGTATGGTGTGTATGGGGGCAGTGTGTGAATGTGTATAGTGTGTGTGTGGGCAGTGTGTTTATGGGGCTAGAGTTCACTCTCACCACTGCGACCACCAGGAATCCATGGGGGTTACAGTGTTGAGAGTGAACTCTAGCCCGTAGCTCCAGGGCTAGAGTTGACTCTCGCAAGAGCAGTAACGTTGCCATGGTAACCGCTGCAACGCTCTGTGCTCGCGCAAGAAGGACCCAGAGGAGCTGCAGG